ACTGTTGGGGGTTCTGTCCACCCACGAGCACTGCCGGCCGACGCCACGCCTTCGCCGCCGTCCGGCAAAACCGCACTGGCCCCCTCTTTCTTCAATGGAGTGACGCTCGACGGGTGCGAGGAACTAGGGCTCCCAACTTCGCGCTTCGCGCTGCGCGAAGCGCGAAGCGCGAATAACTTCGCGCCCTCGCGCCGCCCCCCCAAAGGGAGAAAAGGAGGACGAGGAGGAGGGGGGAGAAGGAACGAGGACCGCGAAGCGCGAAGCGCGAATAACTTCGCGCCCTCGAGGGAGCCCTTGTTCAATGGAGTGACGCTCGACGGGTGCGAGGAAGGTCAGCACAGGGCGCAAGGCCCAAATGTCGGGCGCTCGTCTCGTTCGATCCGCCGCCGCCGACACCCCCGCGCGCGCCCCCCGTGTTCCCCACTGCTCCGCCTCCTGCCGCGGCTCCCCGCCCGTCCCCCTGCCGTTCCTGGCCGCCTCCCCTCCTCCTCTGTCCCGCTCCTGGTTCTGATCCTGCACCCCGCATCTCTCTCTCTCTCTCTCTCTCTCACAGATATATATATATATATATATATACACATATGTCCATATATACACATCCAGCTATATACACATATGTCCAGATACCACATGTGCCACCCTCCTCCTCCTGAGACTCCCTCCTCCTACCTCTTCTCCTTCCCGCACTCGCCGTGGCCCTAATACCACGAACCACATGAAGACACATAAGACCGCGAAGAGCACGATTGACAGGCATCACCACATAACAAAAACACCGAGGAAACGGTTCGTAAACACATCAAGGAAGCGCACACAACATCATAATCGCATGAGCAAACGATGGACACAACTCGTACGAAGATCGCGCGAATCTATACTTACACCAAATAAACCCCATGTCAAAAGATGTTATGAAACATCCGCAGGTACTCCACGCCTTCCCGCTGTCCTTCTCCCTCTCTCTCTCTTTCTCTCATTGTCGTTATTATCAGTATCGTTCTCTCTGTCGCTCTCTCTCTCTCTCTTTCTCTATCGCTCTCTCCATCCCCCTCTCTCTCTCTCGTTGTATCACTATCTCTCTCTCTCTATCCCTCTCTATGTGTAGACTTGGTGCTAACGTGCTAACATCATTTCTTGTAGCAAAATGGCTCTGCCCTCAATTCCTGAACCCCAAGCTACTCTTCATCCGAGAAGACCTGGAGCAACGGGAGACCTTACCGTGCCAGCAACCGTGGGCCCGATATCGGCGGGAAATCTCGACGTACTCTTTCAGTATCCGCTGGGAACCCTTCAATACAAACTCTGTTTGGGGAGTGACGTGAAGATAGAAACAATGAATGACGCTATCATCACAATATGTTTTAGAATGGCCAAAGAACGCAAATGTCCCAAGGGCGCCCCAAGATAGCCTCATGGCCACTATTGAGGCTGCTCGGGCTGACCGTAACTTCGGTTTGACTGGTCCCTCTTGATTCCACTGCTGATCTGTTCCGCTACCCTTCTCACGACAACTTGCACACGAATCGTTTCTGGATGGGCTGGTGGGGAGACGCACAGCGTGCAGAAAAAGGGCCAAGCAAGGATCAGGAGAAACGCTCCTGTTCCTAGTGCGGTCGCCCGGACATGCGGCCGCTCCAATTTTCGTCGCTGCGTGGGCCCCGGAGGCCCGGACCACTTCCCCAGGGTGGGCTTCTTGTCCTGAGTTGTTTTCTGGCGCTCCCGAGGCCCGGCGGGGGCTCCAAGAGGCCGAAAGCGGCAGAGAATCCGCCGCAAGCTTTCCTTCTCGGAACGTCGGACCTCGAGGTTCCCCCCTTTTGGAGGCCCGAAATGGGTACGGAACAGATGGGTACATTGCCCAATAGCACATGCTGTCCCCAACCAACAGGGGCCGCTGCTGACAGGCCGCGGCGGCGTGGACAGCGGGCCCTGTTCAAAATGAACCAAATCCGCTGTTGGGCATTGTTTGAGCAGGGACCGATCGTCCCGGCATTCTATTAGTCATACCACGAAATGTTTTTAGAACCCAACAGCGTTCTGAGAACAGAAACAATATTCTTAGAACATGAACCCGATGTGTTCAAACAAGACAGTCCCAGCCAGAAATGTTCTAAGAACAGTTCATGTGAACCACAAAACGTTCTTAGAACATGATTTGGTGGGGCTATAGGCGAGCCGGGACACTTCGCCACTGCTTGAATTGTACCCATTCTTTCCGTGCCCACTTCGATCGTGCAGACCCCTGATTGGGGGGCGGAAAGACACGGATACGTGTTGTCCCCGGACCTCTCTTCGGGTGCGTTCTGACCAGAATTTCGAGGCGAATCCAGCGGTGACAACGAGGATTCCCCAGGAGGACCAGGAAAGGCCGAAAACGACGGGGGACAACACGTATCCGTATCTTTTTCTCCCCCGACCTGAGGCAAGAGCACTCCTGCCCCTGACCTGGCCGCCAGACTCCGCGCGCCGCGCCGAGCGAAGAGCGGGCAGCCTCCGCGCTCCTGCGCGCCCCCCGCTGCGGAAGGGCGACGCTCTCCGGCCTGGGCCACGAAGCGCGCCCGCCCGGCCGCAGGCAGAAGGGGTCGTACCGAATTGCGCAAGACCGTAAGACGAAGCCAGACGGAGATAAATTCAGGTCGGGCATGTCCTCCTCTAGGGCTCCCAACTTCGCGCTCGCGCTCCGCGAAGCGCGAAGCGCGAATAACTTCGCGCCCTCGCGCCGCCCCCCCAAAGGGAGAAAAGGAGGACGAGGAGGAGGGGGAGAAGGAACGAGGACCGCGAAGCGCGAAGCGCGAATAACTTCGCGCCCTCATGGGAGCCCT